AGCTTGCACATGCTCACTCACCGTTACAAAACCCATACTCAATGAAGAATGAGGAACTGTAGACTTCTTCAACCTACAGTACCTATTTTCTAGCCACTTGTCTTTTGTCATATCACAAGCTGCAGGTTTCAGAACTAACTGGAGAGGCACATCCCTCAGTGAAAGCACCATGAGCCTGCAAGCACCTGGGAGATACAAGTGTTGCCAGGAACCAAGAGTACTCTAGGCCAATTAGTTCTACATTACAATCGGGTAGTGCTCAGCTAATCCCTTTCATGGGGACAGGCTAGTGACAGAACCCGCAATCCTGGATTATACAGCTCAACTTCCATAAAGCTTTTTGAGATAAAGAATACCTCAATACTGCATTTTCTTTAGATCCTTCTGTGAACATGGGCCATCATCAGAAACGCACAGTATATGGTGTGAAATACCTAAAACTGACTACATCCATAACACACTGCCATAAACCAGCATAATGATAACAGAGCGAAGCAGTAAGCAGTACAGGAGGCAGGTCATCTGACCTTTCAAAGAATAAAGGTCATTACATTGTCAGGAACTAAAATGTTTTTGAGTGGCCTTTCATAATCTAGTTACTTCTCTAATTCTGGTTTCTAACCTGAAAAAAGCAAACTATTATCTTTTTTTTTTAAATACGTATCTGTATATGTTGCCAACTACCATACCATTTCTCTAACCCAGTAACTCTTGGTCACAGGTCAATGGTGTTAAAAGCCTAATTAGGAGAGAGTCTCTAACAGCTGTAGATCAGGTTGATGTGAACTTTGGTGTTGACAGGAGATTAGTAAAACAGCTGGGGTCAGCGAACCCCATGAGACACCCTGTGGAGCACAGAAAGATTTAGGTAGGATCTTTATTCGAAGAGCAGGGACCTTTTTTCTATCATTTTTGTTTTGTGTTCTGCACCTGTTGATGACAAGTCTGTGATTTGCTTGAAAGATCTTTGAGTGAGTCTCAGAGGACTTGGGAAAAGTGTATGTGGTGATGGGTGGGGGCAGTGAAAAACCAAGATAAACCAGCATTATAACCGACTTCAAAAGACACTCACTCACTGGGCCCGACACATGGCTTTAAGACGTCTGTAAAGAGCCTAATTAGGGGGAACCACAGTGAGCTCCTTTGCTACTAGGAATTACTGTGAACAGCAGTGGGAGGGAACCTGGACTGAGGGTTAAACAGACCTTCACACACAGCTAGGCTTGGAAACAGACCATCTCAAAGGACACTCAGGCATAAACTCCCAAGCCACACAGTGTAAGGGAATCTGTCACCTCATTTTCTCGGTTGTCATGGGTATCTTTTACGCTAAAAATTAACTTACAACATTACAGACATGAATCTTCCAACAACATGCTGAATATTATATGCTTACTGTGGATTCTATATAACTGAGTACCTTGCAAGATTATATTGAAGGTAAAGAATAGTAAATGCTGTCTAACATGATGCAATTTCCAGTTGTTTTTTGGTACCTTAGCACTGAATACAGCAGCCAGTTCAAGTGAAAGACTATACAGCAGTGAGAGCTCTGTCAAGACCTGGAATTGTCACCAGTTAGGACTAAACTAGTGTGGTACCACTGTAGTGTTGTGACTGGTTGTTTTTGACAATGCTACCAAAAAATAAACTGAATCATTTTTTTCTGATTAAACATTGCATCAAAAATGTACGGTAATATTTTGGTACATTTCCAAATCCTTAACATTTGCACTGATTTTCTGAATCTAAAAAATATATGCTTTCATTTAATTGATCTTCAGTAAACTGTAGTCACCAGTCCTACTAATCATCCCTGGTGGAGCACTGCCATTGCACCATGAGCAAGGAGCAGTTACTAGGATTGCTCCAGAAAAACGCCCGGTTGAATGATTGGAAGTTTCTTTGGATAAGAGCATCATCAAAATTATTTTCCCGTCAAAATATGAGGAAAAACTGTGCACAAAAATAAAGATTTATGAAAGGTTTTAAGCTGTATTTTTATGCATAATCACATTTTGCTTAATTGTCATGTACAGGAGATTAAACGATCTAATCAGTTTTAGCATGTTTGGTACACTGCTCATTCCCTTCCACTTATTTCTAAGGGTATTTCTGAGCCTGTTTAAAATCAGATGGTAGTCAGATCCAGAACCTCACCTGGTTTTTTAGCCTGGAACAATCTCTGCCAGGATAGCTCAATGGCAATGTATTTTGTGTTGACATAGGATACATTAATGTCTAGAAGAGGAAAAATGAATAAAAAAAGTCTAATGGTTTTTCTGAGGTATCAAACTTGAAAAAGGCATTTAGTCACAGTCTGAAGGAAAACAAATGTACTGAAAATAAAATCAGTAAAAACATTTTTTAATTACAGTTTATCATACTCCTTTCATTTTTGACAGTAAAGATCTTTGTTATGACAAAGAATCAAAACTCCACTACTAATGCAAAACCTACCCAGAGCACTTGACAGCAAAAGAATGTGGCCCCCCTTACCAAAGGTGAAAGGTCAAGTGTCACAAGTGCCACTCTGTCTGTGGTAGCTACTGTTCAGCTGTTGCCTTTCTTCAGCTCTTTGTGTAAATGAGGATTGACAGGCTGATCTAAAGATTTGTTTAAAGACCAATTTAAAAAAATTAAATTACCTTCTCTTATACATCTACGCCCACACTATTCCTCCAGAAACTACTACAGAGAGGTAGTAGTTTTTTTAATTACTAGTGGTAAGTGAGCTCTTTAAGCTAAAAGATTTTGAAATCAGTCTGTAGTCTTTGCAGGAAATAAGCATGATACTGTTAAGCTGAGTTTAGACTCTGACTTCCATATGAGCTACATAAAAACAATCTACAGAATCAAATCTTCACAGGGCACAGGCTCCTCACAGTTCAACATCTGCCCATCAACATCCCTACATTATTACTAGAATCATGTGGCTGTCAATTGAAAAATGTAAATTATTAACATGAAAGTATACATTTTTAATTTCAGAAAATGTTTGTGTACAGTAATATTCCGGGTCTTTGTATATTTACTGCTGCCTCAGTAGAGTGGATTCTTTCCCATTATGATTTTCATAAGTCAAACTGTTTACCAACATCTAAAAGAAGAACCACTTTGATTCCAGTAAGCATTTTGTTGACTTGGAGTGATTTTTAAGAGGTAAATGTCTGGAAACTCTGAATCCTTACCATGTACTTACTGTACAACCGTTTTCCACTACAAACCAAGCCAAAAAAAAAAATCACTGCAGCATCCTCATGGTACACTGTGCATGGCCAAGCTCCAACCACATGCAAACACAGTGTTGCATTGTCGCCAAACAATTGAGGGAGTTTAAGCCACTGGATTATCAACCCAGATGTGTAGTGTAGAATGAGAGCAAGACAGGCTCAGCAGAGAATGCTCATTCCTCCAGAAACGAGGACTAATATTGGATGTTGCTGCAGGTTAGATTACAAGTTGAAGACTTCAAAAGGCTGATGTAATGGGGTGGAGAACTCTGCCCAATGCCACTCTGAGGTGAGTCAGCTACTGGTGCAGAGAAACTCGCTGCACAGTAGGATGGAAAACGCCTCTCTCAATGCAAGAGGTTTAATATCTGCAGCAAACAAATCCTTCAACAGCAAGGCACATTGCAGCCTCTCAACCTGGATAATAGATGAGGTGGGCTTTTCTCTCTCAAGTGGCAAGCAAGTGAAATGGGCTCAAGCAAATGCTTGCAGCAACGGTGTCCAGACAATCAGCAGTGCTGAAGGACTCTTTGCCCACATACTGGGCCAAGGTGGTTTTATTGATACAAGGAAAGGGGTTTCAAATATTTGGGCTGTCTGTGAAGAGATATCAATGAGTGCAAAGCAACAGCAATGATAGCAGTGCACTGCCAGATAATTTCAATATAACCTGCACTTGCCCGTCATTGGATAATCCATGAACATCGCTGCCTGCTGTTCTTTTTTGCAAATCTACAGATGTTAAGAGTTTTCTCTTTCAAGCTGAGTTTATTAAATGTAACTTCTCTCTCCAGGTGAAAGGGCATTTTTCAGCTATAGATGATGCATAACTGACTCCTGTGTCATGTAGATTTTAACATAAAAATGTAAATCATATTTAATAATGAAACAAAATTAGAAAGTCTACCCCAATTAAACACTCTCAAATCTTTAAATAAGCAACAAATTACAGTATTCTGTTATCCCTCTTCAGACTGACCTAGTAAGGGGTTAATAACACATTTTCAGACATACGATGCTTTTTTGTCTGTCTATAAAAACAGAAAAACAGCCTCCCCAGAAGCAGCATTGTACAGAATTGGGAGACCCAGCCAGTTTATGGGCAGAATCTGGCAAAGACTGCACAAAGTAATATTTTTATGGTAGCTCTTCAAAGAACCAGAAAACAGATGGTCCATCCTGAGCAGAATTCAGCTGCAAAAGCAAACCCACACACTGGGGGAGCCAGACCCACAGACTGCTGGGATACATACAGGACACCCAGCACAGCTCCGTACACTCTCACTGAGGGATGCAGGGAAAAGGACAAGCCAACAGATTTTAGGCTAGATTATAATTAGGAGTCGAGAAAGAAATGGTGTTTCAAAAAGTACAAGGATTTTGTTTGGTTTTCATTTAGTGTTTTTTTTTTTCTGCACTGAGAATAATAGCAAACCAGTGAATACCTCCGAGACCCCATGACACTGTACAACCCTCACTGGTATCACCAGATAGTCTACCGCACAGTCCCACAGGGTTTCATTTAGTGGCTACTTCAAAACCCAAGACTCCGATATTCTCACAGAAGCGAGCACTGGCCCATGCCTCTATTTCATGAAGCTAAAAACGATAGTAATTAGGCACCTCGTCTAGGTGTAGAGGACACTGCCCATCCTGGGGAGTGCTGTACAAGCTGCAGTGTCCGGCGAATGAAGTAGTTGAGGGTACTGGATACCAGTTCTCCTGCCTGCAGCTGTGTGTAATGCTGGAGAGGAAGCCCCGACTGACCTTTTTTAGGACGCTGTCCAGAGTCTCTGGGCGGCTGATGTCGAAGCAGATAAGAACAGCATCTGAGTCGGGGTAGGCCAAGGGCCGCACATTGTCATAGTAGGAGGAACCTGCAACACAAGACACATCCAGCTGAAGTACTTGCACACTTGCCGACTGTTAAAACATACCCTCACATTTTAAACTTCAATTGTGGCCATTGAGCCAGGCTTCTCTTTCTCTACAGGACACTGTAAACCCAGTAATTGCACCAGAGGCAGCAGGAGTCTTCAGTCAATTTCCCTCACAATAATGTAGAGCCAGTTCTGCCTGAAAACTGCTTCATTTTAAGAAAGTCAAATAAACAGGGCTATAATCCCGTATTGCCAAAGGAGTCAATACGCTTTTGTTGCACCTTGTTAGGAAACTGGAACAGCAGCTTCCTAATGTATTCATCAATTCAAGGAAACAAATGATAACATATACTGTGAGCAGGCTCAGGTGTTGGTGACGTTATGTGAACTGGACTTCATTGCTGATTGAGACTTGTCTACCTGTGATTGAACACTAGAGGAAAAGGTTTCCTTCTAATGAGTTACAAGACTGAATTAAACATGGAATATGCTAAATACTTGCTAGAGATTGATATACCCATATATCCAGCTGTTTTCACAGCCAGGAAATTAATCAGAAGCCCAAATGCTTAACTACATTAGACTATTACTGCCACTTTGCTCCTTTAACCAAACAAAGGAAAACAGTCTAGGTGCTAGACTAACAAAGCATATATAATGTGACGATTTGAGTGCAGTACACCCAAAGAATATTTAAAAAAGACAATAACACACTGTCACCACCAGACTATAAACAACACACGAGTCCCAGCAGCTCTCCTCCCCTCAGGTCCCCTCCTGTACACAACCATCCTAGTTTGTTCTTACGGAGGACCTCCAATTAAAGACGTCCTACAGTTTATTAAAGGCCAGCAGGTCTACAGCTCCTCTATGACAAAAACAAGGGCTTAACGCATGAAACTGGGATCCGGCTACTGCTGCTGTGCCAACAGATGCTTTGGACATGAGAAAGCCTTCGGATGTGGCCTAAAGAGCAGGAGAGAGGTCTACAGCGAGCTCTGCTTTCATGGAAGATGAATGGAGAGGAGGTGCCCTCTGCTGTATTCTCCTGGAGGTCATGTGGCCCAGAGGCAAAGCTACCAGGAAAGAAGAACAGTATGGAAGTGTAGCAATATATCTGAAATAAAGGATTTGTATGCCTTTGCTTGAATTCATTTGGTTTTCAAAATTAATTAAAAACCCAATGCACAAAGAGGTAGAAAGCACAGCTGTTCCTTCAGATTACAAAACAGGATTATCTGTGATGTCTTTCAGGTTTTGTCAAAAGCCACAGGCATTAGAAATAAAAAGTATGGCTATATTAAATCAAAACTCTTACTTCATTTACAGACTTTTCTGGCACTTACCACAAAAGAGACAGTAGTAGAAAATCTGGTTGCTAAACAATGACATCGAAAAAAGAGATACACCAGTGCAACTATAGGCAACCACTGTAAACTAAAAGCTCAATCTCTAGTCTAGTCATTCTCTATTAAAATTAGAGTACAGAGTCATTTGTCTACAAAGCCACTGAAAGTCAACCAAAAGGAAATACTTCAAGCTCATTAAATAGGAATCCAACCTCACAAGCAGTGCAAGAACTCAAAAAAGGTGGCACATCTTTCACAACAAATAGTGGAATGGAATGGACCAATTCCCAGCCATGCAGCAACTGCCTTTTGGAATTTTTAAGGAAAAGGCAGCGGGCCCCGTCCTCCACTGTATTCCCTGGCCTCCCTAACCCTGTCCTTGCTCAGTACTGTCCACGGGGCTCTCTCCACTCTGTGGGGCCACCAGGCCTGCTGCCCCTGCTGTGTGATGGGGACTCTTCGGGTCCTCCTTTGGGCAGGGTGGAGGTGGCTAACTGGGAGTAAAGGGTTTATTGAAGAGGACAAAGGAGAAAAAAAGCAAGGGGTCTTTGGGTCAAGTGAACGGAAGGTTTCCCATTTGTCACAAGGGCGAACTATCCAATTCTCAAGTCTAGAAAAGATATCTTGCAGGAGTAGCTCCACACATAATGTGCAAGACATTTGTCTAATCCACAGGCACACACACACACTTTCTAGTATGCCCTGTGGATTTTACTAATAATATATCAGAGGAAAAGCAGACATACTCAGGGTCTGTTTACAAAGGATCAGATTTTCATTAATGAAAATGACAGTTTGCAGTGGAGGAAAAGGTCAGGGAAAAAAAACATATGTTCTTTTTTCTTTTTCAGCTGCTTACAGATGAAGAAAGACTGGATTGGTATAAGTGAAGATGATTCATTGCACAGATAATTTAGTGCTCTTTAAGTGCAGCAAATAATACATTTCCCATCTTTGTTGCAGCTCTTACATGGTAATATAATGATGTCAATACTGCAAAACGCGTCGGTGTGCAAAATGTAGTCTGCAATGCATTTTCATTCAGTACAACCCATAAAACTCTGCCTAAAATGAAGTTACCCTTCTGAGGCACAGTTTGCCCATCTCTGATACAGTTTTGCATATGTAACGTATTCAAAACAGCCACAATCTCAAAGTGCCCAATCAAAAACTCTTCAGAACACTGCGGGGTCAATTTCAAAAGGCTGTTTCTTGCAAAATAAAAGAACTGATTGCAATTATCAGTAAAATACTTCACAACAAAGAATGGCAATTATTAGTTGATAAGAGCTTTATATCAGGGCCCAGATACACTTGAATGACAACATAACTGCAATAAGAACTTGAACCCTTACATATGTATGGAGGTCCACTTATAAAAGCCTTTCTGTAGCACACAAACTGCAGCCGGTCACAGCCAAGAATCCATACAGCTCACCCCAGCAGTAAAAGGCTGATTTCGTGGTGCGGGAGATTTGAGCAGTCTTGATAACTAATCCTCATCTTACCTTGACTAGCCTCTCACATTTCCTTGTAGTAAAAGCAAGGCATAGCAAGATCAGGGTGAAGCACAGTAAAGAATGCTGCAGATCACATAGACATGGGACAGCACATTGAGCCTACTGTATAAGCAGCAAAAGTCCATGGTCAAGAACAACAGTTTCCCATGGCCATCATTTTAGGTATTGCTTTACTATGATTTAACACTCTGTAAGATCACTTTCAGAACAATAATGACAGATGCTCCTGGCCAGTCTGCTCCACGTTTACACATGACATCAGCTCCCACATGCACAGTGCTCAGCATCTGAAGCACTGCAAGACACACATCTGGGAACTGGCAGCTTAAGACACAAGGAACCCTCATGTTAAGCAGCTAGAGCCCCAGACCTGACTTTTACAATAAACTTGGATTTGCTTTCAGTACATTGTTAAAAATATGATTTTTCATCATGTGGTAGAATCATTTAAAGAAAGCACAACTGGTACGAGAAAGGAACTCGGAGAAAAGGGACACTCCTGGTCATAAACCTTTGATGGACACCTTCACATTATGGACAAAGCTTTTAAAATTAAACAAACGCTTGTTTTAGCATAAGGAGTAGAGTGGGTATCCAGACAAACAACTCATCTGAAGCTCACAAAGATCCTTCTAAAAGCAACTAGATCAGATGCTGGGATTTTTAATACAAAAAAAAGGAGCAAGGAGGAAAAGATCTCCTCCTATGCAACATTAAAAATGTCATGTTTCTACAGTGAGTCAGAAGGATTTTTTCATTCCGTTACAACTGCACCTGAAATGATCCTTATCGTTTCTGTTCTGGTGTGACTAAAGCAGTTTCTCTCTCGTTCTTCCCTCAAGCACTCCAGGCAGCACTGCCAGATAGGACACAGGTGAGCAGGAGTAAGAATTACAGAGGAGACAATGTAACTGCAAAGGGCCAAAACCCCTCCCTATTTAAAAAGAACAGCAATAATGTTGAGAAAGTTTCCGATCAATTGCCAGCAGTGCTGCTGTACAGATGGCTCTGCTGAATGAAAAAATGTGCCTATTTAAGCATTACTTTCACAGCCACTGAAGACAGCTCAACAATGCATGCATCATCCCTCATACCCATTCAAGCTGTTCTCTGCTTCCTCAGAGAAGTCATGACTTCAGGGACCCTTTAGTGTTGTGAAACCTGTTTACACTGTATCAGACAGCAAAAAGTCTTGATATCGCTGATATCCTTTCGGTGTGCGTTATGTTGTTACTGTAACGGTAAATAGTCTGAGCAAGAGACTCAAATCTCAGGTGCTGAGACTAAAGGCAAGCTCATAACATCATTACTGTTAAGATTTCTGGATGAGCAGAGTGGCCTCCCCCCCTTTAGAGACCCTGAAGATCTGGCAATAGAACAGACCCCTTCGATTGTGCACACAAGGCACCAGCAATCTCCTGGCAAGACTAAGCCTTGAGACAGCAGACAGCACATCCATCCGAAGGGTAGTTTTGTGTTCACTGTTCTGCTCTTTTCAGTGTTTTTTCATGTTTATGCAGAAACAATTCCACTCCGATCGCCTACAGAAACCGTAGCCATTTTGTTTCAGCTCACAGTTGATCCTGATAGATCTGTGATATGAATTACAAAAGAAGTATCTTTATGGATGTGTAGAGGTAGAGATGATGTTAACAAGGTGGAACACCTGACAATCACATTTCCCTGGTGAATGTGAGCATTTAGCTGCAGCAACACCTCACCTTGGCTGCTCAAGTATAGTTTACCTGGTGTTACTGTGAAGTTTGTGAGATTCTGAGCAGTGTGAAGATACTAAAATCACAACTTTGGTTTCTTCTGACCCAAATTAAGCTGCATTAATGAAGTTATTAAATAAAATAGTAGAAAACACTAGTAGTGGTCTTGAGTAGATTAAAGCTTGTATATATTGTATCCTTACCATAACTCTTGATTGTGTCTTATTGTTTTGCACTGCAGTGTATATGCCAAGAAAATACAAAATCAGTTATCTTGTGTTAAAGTGTGCAGTAGTGAAAAACAATTCACATGGGGCAAATGAATGCACCAGAAAAACAGACTGCAACAATATAAAGTGCCTTGTAAGTAACAGCTGCAATGCAGAATAGTACTACAGTCAGCAAATCAAGGG